ACTACTAGTAAGGCACCTGTTACTACTAGCGTGGCACTTGTTTCTAAAGCAACTCTGGCACTAACGAACAAAGCCTTGGAAAACAGCTCCTCCACCCGATCGGGGCCAAATTTCACAATTCGGCCCGTGCCATCTGGATCCCGCGTTTCGTTGGCGGTTACTCCAGGAACCTGGCATCAAAGGTCGGAAAAGCGACGATTCTGGGCAAAGCGTCTCGCAGAGGGTGAACCGTCCTCCAGCTAGCAAAAGGAACCTAATAGCAATGGCCTCCAACCTAATAGCTTCTAGCTTCTAGTTACTATATAGTAGTAAGGCCAGGAGCCCCTAGTAGCTTCTTGCTCCCAGTAGCGATGCCCTTTGTTACTAATAGCAATGGCCTCCAACCTGACCCTTAAAGCCTCGTGTCTCGTCGAAAAAGCAACATGGACGGAAAGTTCTGGATATGTCCAGCGTCTAAAGAGTTGAGAAATATGAAAAAGGACACAACACGAAACAAAAAGGTCCAAAAGTCAAATAAGAAAGGACGCATAAATTTGTATCATCTAAATTGAGCTGTAGCCTTGCCTCTTAGTTCACATGTGATTTCTCGTGATCAAATATGTCCAAAGGAAGGTTGGAAGAGAAAACTCCTTGTTGCGTACCTTTAGACAGTAAATAGCTGATGAGCAGTAACGGTAGTGTAAGTCATACATACACAGCATGTAGAAAGTAAGTAACACATGGACAGTAACAGCAGTATCAGCGGTGTAAGTCACACATGCACTGTCACAGCAGCGTAATTCACAAATGCACAGTAACAGTAGCATAAGTTACAAATGCAAAGTAATTAATTCACATTCATACATCGTACAACTTGACCAACCATCGCGCGGGACGTTCTAAAACTCCTGTTACTGTGCGCCGGTGACTTAGAGTACTGCCGCTGTGTGCCTGTGACTTACACCAGTGCAGCAACCTACTAGCAGCTAGTTACTAGCGATGGCCGCCAACCTAGAAGCCATGGCCTCCAACCTACTAGTGATGGCCTCCAACCTATTTAAAAAGGACATACAACATATGTTTTCCAGAAAACATACTTTTGCCATTGGAAATGCAGCCTCGTGTTGTTGAAAGCACGCGCTTGCATTGGTTGACGTGCGCAAATGCATGTCCGAGAATACCCAATGTTATGCCTTTGATTGAACAAATCAAATTTTGTTTTTGGAATTGCACCGGAATGTTTCTGTGCGTGTCCCATGGCTGAAAGCAAAGGCTGGTGTAACTCCGAAGCTTTGCTCGGCGATTGCGACGCAGTCTCGAGTGATCGGATCATGCCCGGATCAGCTGCGCGCGAACAAGCTCCGTTCGTAGCGATGCCCTTTGCTCCGTTCGTAGCGTCCTCTACGGGAAGCTTTTTGTTCTGGGTGGTTGTCTTCAACTTTCATGTTGGAGGACGTCTCGGACAAAATGCTCTCGTTGAAGCTTTCAAATGTCAAGACTTGAAGTGTCTCGCGCGCGAAATGCCCTTTTGAAATGTGTTAAAGCTTGTAAATGTCAAAGTCTGAGGAAGTCTCAGTCTGGTGTGAACTTCCCAAACCTGGCAACTTTGTGGTACAATGTGGTAGACATGTGGTGCGCAAAGTAGCTTCTGGGAGCAAATGGCAGAACTGGCAACCTTGTAGCGCAAATGTAGCGGGGAGGGAGGCCATCGCTATTAGGTTGGAGGCAAACAGTGCGGTTCCACTACGTCGGTGCGTCGGTAGTGAGCGGCATGATTGGTGATGTCAATCACTGTAGCTGTGATGTACGGACGTTTGTTGATCTAGACCTAGAGGGTTTGTCGAGGGCTCTATAACCATATTGTCTCTTGAAACTTTCGTCCTGGCTTGCCCCGGGTACTACTCGTAGTCAGCTTTTGTTCCTCTTATTGGGCTCTTTCACTGCTGATGCAACCCACTTGAACTATACTGTATTATTGTTTAACTCTTCCTCTCCCCTCAACACTCTTCACTCGAGACGCTCTTCCTAGTCTTAACTGATGCTTGTCTCTTTCTACCCTCCCACACATGCTTTGAATACAGTTGAGAACCAAAGAAAGGACATTTTGCCCTCGTCAAGCAGCTCTTCCCTAAACAAGCTTTTCTTTCCCACTAGTTGCGTGCGTGCACTTTGCCAAATTTGCATTATTCCCAAGCAAAATTATTGAAGGCTGTTTGTCCACAACAACCAATACAACAACCAAGAAAAAACCTAGTTGGGTCAAATGCAAGCGGATTGATTGGTCCTACCCTGGATTAGTTAGTACTCCTCTTCTTAAATTTTGCTTTCCCTCGTTGGGTAGTGTTCCGTATTTGTAGTCAACTCCTTTGCTTTTGTATTTTTTTGCTGATACAAGTGAATTGGGGTGTTAAATACACTTGAGATGTGTAAATGGACACAAGTAGGAAAAGGCAACGCAACTTCTGAGGGTAACTAGATTACCTTCACGTACCTTCAGTTCAAAGTCATGATGATGAAAACAAGGTCTAAAGGTCAAAACGATAAGTTTCTGTTTGAGACCTATGGTGGTAAGTAGTACGCTTCCTGCGAGAGCTTTGAGAATCCGCCGACCCCGCCGGTTGATAAACAAAACGTGGCAACTAGCGCTCTTGCCATTGAAGGTAATTAGTTGTAGAAAAGGGCAGAAAAGGGTGGAGAAAACCAAAACACATGAAACATGCAGCTGATCTTCTTTGTTTTCATCTTTGCAAAGTAGCATAGACTGTCACCGGCAAAATGCAGGTTGAAGCTCCCTCAAACAAAGCCGCGAGGCCGAATCATTGTCAGAAGGATCGCTCCACCTCAGACTCAGAACAAACAGAAAGTCCCGTTCATGTCCAAAAGCCTCGCAAGGGACTAGGAGCAAGGACGCTACTAGGGGCTCCTGGCCTTACTACTAGGAGCAAGAAGCTACTATTAACAAGGGCATTACTACTAGTAGCAAGGACGCTATTAGGTTGGAGGCCATCGCTACTAGGGTGGAGGCCATTGCTCTGGTCTTTTGTTTTCTTTTGTTAAAAAGCCCACTCGCTCTTGCCCGCTTCCCCCCTGCCTACTTAAGTAAGTAGAGCCAACCTACTCAATTAAGTAAGACACTCTAATACGCTCCTACATATGGACCCAGGATAGCGCACTAAAGTGATTTGGTTTCTAAAAATTTAGGGAAACCTAAGTTCTTCCCTTCTTAAGCTAGTGTGCCTCACGTCTCAAATGTCAATCACTCCCAGTGAAGGAACAATCTGAGTGCCCATGCAACAAATCAGTGATCCGTTGCTCGAAGGGTGTTTGCGGAATTTGTGCCACATACAACGGCCTCCAAAAGAAAGCAAACACGAGCAGAATTAAGAACACAGGTTCTTAATGGTTTTTATATGCAATATCTTTCTGATTCCTGCCCAATCTTCAATGCATGCTTCTACATGGTCTTCAGTCTGCAATTTTCAAGTTTTCACCATGTTCTTTCTCAAATCTGCAAGGTCTGCCCACTTGGATCCGGTTCCAACTCCAACATCCCTTGGTGCTGGATTAGGCGCCTCCGAGATGATTTGGCCATTTTCTCTCACTTGGTCCGTCAAAAGACAAACCTTACTGAGATAACTTTGTCTGTCTGAGATGACTTGGAAATTCTCCTTCTCTCCGCCATGTCTCCCAATCTCTCTCCTAACGAATGACTTGAGCTCCTCACTTCCCTCCAGTCGTTTGTCTTGGATTTTTATATGGAGAAACCGCAAGCTACAGCCAAAGAAACAAAGAAAAAGCAGAGAAAACAAAGGATCAATGAAACATGTCATTCACTTGTCTCAAGGTGTGTTTTTTTGCATGTTTGCCTTCTCTTTTCGATTTCGATTCGGTCGGTTTCAGGTCGATGGCCTTTGCATGGTGCGAACTTCGGCCACTGAATGGACGGAGCCTCCAATACCTGGACTGAGCCAATGCCAAACGTTCAAAGGAGAAGGAGAAAGAAGACAAGCAGAAAGGTCGTACTTCATCGCTTCTTTGTTCCTAGCTTCTTGTTACTAGTAGCGTCCTTGTTACTACTAGTAAGGCACTTGTTACTAGAAGCGATGCACTTGTTCCTAGTAGCTTCTTGTTAGTAGTAAGGCCAGGAGCCCCGTTCGTAGCGTCCGATCGCTCCTAGTAGCGATGCCCTTTGTTCCTAGTAGCGGATCAGCTCAGTGCTTCTAAACGCAGTCCAACCTAGTAGCGATGGCCTCCAACTACTAAGTTACTAGCGATGGCCTCCAACCTAGTAGCGTCCCCTTTGATCCAAATGAGCGTGGACCAAAAGGTCTGATTAAACACCTGCTCGTAAGGGTCTGCTTACGCTATTGCTCTCGCTGTACTTACGCGACCACAGTTTTTGCTTCCGCACACTGCTCTTATGAGGAGGAGGATAGTTTTAGACCATGCTCATGCAGCAAAGAATATTGTCTGCAGCATTGACTCTTTTGACAATCTGTAGCGCACCGCCATGAAGGCAAAGAATTTTGTCTTCGATTACTGCTCCGACTGGAAGCCACTCAAAGGCCTGACGCAAGTGATTTCCTGGTAAAGATTTGAGTACAAATCCGTGTCTAGTTCTTGTGCCAAGCTGCCCTGTTGAATTTGTTCCAACAAGATTCTGGGTCTTCTGGCTCCTGCGGCAAATCAAAGAGAGCTCTCTTCATGTCTGTCACGATGAGAGTACTCAGGATGAGCCCCGGATGTACGCGCCCCCTCTCTCTCTCCTCATTCAATCGGCGTCGGCACTCATCCCGGAAGCCGTAGATGGCATTGATGGTTGGGTCCTTCACCGAACGGAGCGAGCAAGAGGACGCTACTAGGAACAAGTGCCTTACTAGTAGTAACAAGCACGCTACTAGGGGCTCCTGGCCTTACTACTAGGAACAAGAAGCTAGGAGCAAGGTTCGCGACTATTTTGCGTGCTTCGAGCATTGGGTGCCTCATGATTCCCTCGGATCAGGTGGATCTGTGTTGGATATTTTACCTGACAGCCAAGAAAGAACACACGCAAACCCGTGTCCATTGGAGGCCATCGCTAGTAGGTGTCCATTGGATATTGCTAATAGAAGCAAAGAAAAAAAAACATATTTGACAACTCTTGACATGAGACTCATGTCTGAACAAAGCAAGTGAATCAAAGTTCAGCATCGTTCAAGTGCCTTGAGGGAGAAAAGAAGACACACAGTCTCCAAGGAAAATGCTCCCCGGTCCTCAAGCACATGCAATGTCATATGCCACAGCTTTCATGGAACAAAAGCTGTCAGCAATTAAGGCCAGGAGCCCCTAGTAGCGTCCTTGCTCCCTGTAGCGATGCCAGGAGCCCCTAGTAGGCCCTAGTAGCTTCTTGTTACTAAGGCCACTGCAACGAAGTCGCCCAGGAACAAATAGTCCATGGAGTCCTTGGCACGAGTCGCACGGACAGCCGAATGCTGGTTTCGCTTGTGTGGCACAAGGGCTGCACAATGTCACCCCCCTCGCCATCAGAAGGTGCTTTATACCTGCCCGAGTAGAAGAGAGCAGGGCAACAACCCAAGAGCGATGGCCTCTACCCTAGTAGCGATGGCCTTCAACTTAAATGGAATGGCCTCCCCAACCTACTAGCAATGGCCTCCAACCTACTAGCGATGACCTCCACCCTAGTAGCGATGGCCTCCATTCTAAATGCAATGGCCTCCAACCTTAAAGCAATGGCCCCTTCAAAACACCAACATTGTAACATGGGTGATATTCTAATCAGGCCATGGACTTGCCCTACATGGCCGCCCTCTGCGACACCCAACAATAAAACACACTTTTCAATGGTCTCAAACTAGTTTAGCACACCATCTCTTCTGCCTTGCAAAAAGGCGCATGAGGTCCAGGAATTGGCCATGGATGTCTCCATAAACCTCCACGAAAGAAAAGCGTCTGAACAAGCAAAGGCTTTGCGGGAGCCTTCTGAGTGTCCAGGTACATCGCACTGAGCTCGGCAGAGTTTTGTCAGCATGGTGTCAAAAGGGTTGACTGAGAAGAACTCATGATTGAAATATTTTTTCAAAAAGACTCGTGTCATTGGAGGCCATCGCTAGTAGGTTGGAGGCCATCGCGAGAAGGGTGGAGGCCATCGCTATTAGGTTGGAGGCCATCGCTAGTAGGTTGGAGGCCATCGCTAGTAGGTTGGAGGCAATCGCGAGAAGGGTGGAGGCCATCGCTAGTAGGCCATCGCTAGTAGGTTGGAGGCCATCGCTAGTAGGTTGGAGGCAATTGCTTCTTTTAAGAAAACATCAGTCGAAAATTATGATGTTGAGTTCTTCGCCTTGATTGGCGCCCGAAGTCTCAGCACCATCTCCTGGGATTTGAGTACCTCGACAGAAGCGGGCAAATAGCCAGAGCAACCACCAAAACCACGCTGCAACCGACTCCACGCTATTTGATTGCTAAATAGACTCTATTCTATTGAGTTTACCAGCCAAAAGTGAAAAGTCGCTGTTACAAGGCCTTAGATCTTTGGACTTTATTAGCCTTTGTGGGTAATATTGTCATTATTGTTCCACTCTTTCTACATTCCTTCTGAACAGAAACACCTTCAAACGCTCTCGATCTGTGTTTCCGATGTTGGTAGACCGCATTTGCACGTTGCGCGCCTCCAATGTCATGTCGCACAGCCTACTAACCTGTCACAAAGCGGCAAAAGTGTGTCCAAGGACTAGGTTGGAGGCCATTGCTTCTAGGTTGGAAGCTGGTTGGAGGCCATCGCAAGTAGGTTGGAGGCTCTTGTTCTTGGGTTGGAGGCCATTGCTTCTTTGAATTCCATGGACACATAATGTAAACTGCAACAAACTAGGCATCAGTCATGCGAACGTTCCGAGTTTTTTTTTTTTTTTTTTTTTTCGGAATTCTTTATTTTAGTGGATTTTGATGGCTTCTATTGGCATTTGGTGGCTTCTTGTAACTTTTTTGCTGGCTTTTGTCAGCTTCTCTTGGCTTTTGTTGGCTACTGTTGACTGTTGACTGGGCTCCGGTGGCTTTTAACATGGTTTGTATGTTCTTTCGGGGAGGTGCTGCTAATTTCCCTCCTGAGCCACGAAATCTGCAACCTCTCATGCCTGCCACGAAATCTGGCTTTTAAGAGTGGCACCACTGCACCAGTTTTGTTTTCTGGCCACTAGTAACAAGGGCATTGCTACCAGTAACAAAGGGCATCGCTACTAGGAGCAAGGACGCTACTAGAGTAGCTTCTTGCTCCTAGTAGTAAGGCCAGGAGCCGCTAGTAGCGTCCTTGCTGGTAGTATTTCACCCAGGCCTCCACGACAATCTTCCAAACACTTGTTTGCAGCGCACCCTTCCCTTTTACTTTGTGCGAGGAAGGGACACTGGGACGTTCCCTCAAAAAAGAAGCAACCACAAGCCCTTGTTTCTACTAGCTTCTTGTTACTACTAGTAAGGCACTTGTTCCTAGTAGCGATGCACTTGTTACTACTAGCCAAAGCAAATGAAGCCACAGAAAAGCGAAGGCCACATATCCAAGGCCCAAAGCCCACAAAAGTCACAGCCAGGAAGAAACATATCCTGCCCTTTGGCATCCCAAGCCCTGCTTCTTGGTAGCTAGGGTAACTCACTTTCTGACTCTACCCTACTCTACCCGCTCGCTTCCCCCGCACACATTAACCACCTAACTCCCCAGCCCCTAGTAGCGATGGCCTCCAACCTAGTAGCGTTGGGCCCTCAAGAAATCTTATTTAACTTTCCAAGCTTGAAGTTGACTAACGACTTGGTGGCCTCCGCTGCGCTCAACAGGAATCCATTCGGATTTGAATCTGGTTGCCACGTAGTGGGCCTTGGTTCAGCCCGCTATTCACACATTAACCATTGTGTAGAGCACGTGTTTCTGGTGAACAACCTGCCTATTGAAAGAAAGGCTGTTTGCAAATGCTTTACCTGAAGAGGCCGACTGCAAAAGGGCATTGATGCAGCGGTTGTGCACACCCTCATCTCCCTGGAATTCTGAGAGTTCTTGCTGGAGCTCACAAAGCAGCAAACAAGACAACACCTTACTAGTAGTAACAATAAGCTACTAGGAACAAGTGCATCGCTTCTAGTAACACGTGCCTTACTAGCAGTAACAATAAGCTACTTAATTTAATTCTCTTACAACAAACGTCGTCGAAAGCGAAAAGGCTAAAATCTGTTTCCCTGGCAAGCATGCCGCGAGTGGCAGCGCTTCTGGCGATGTTCGCCATCACGTTGCTGGTGTGGATTTTTCGACCTGAGGTGTGTGGAAGTTGCTGTCTGCCGGTTAAGGGCAAAGCAGGGAGCCTTCTTCTGCAAGAGTTTCTATTGCAACCTGCGACAGGTGTTCACTCAACTTGGGAATGAAGCAAAGTCCCTCACCTTCTCTACCAAATGCGTAAAGTCCTTCTCATGGCTGACGTACACCTGGAAACCAACAATTCCTAAGACATATTTCAAATCCCTTAGAACGCAGCAAAGAACAACTTGACTGTGCACTTCACTGTGAACGAGTCAGCAAGTTCACTCTAGTGAGTCTGCCGGTGATGCCACGCTGGCATTCAGCATTGCGGTAAAAACCAACACATCAAACAGATTGAACTACATTGACATTGATTCTCTGAAAAAGGCGTTAACATCATTTTGGAAGCCAATTCTGCTTTCGCTTTCAACGCACCTGCGGTGACACTTTGACGTCGCCAGGGGCAAGGTCTACCTACAGCTTTGACAGATGTTGACAGGAGACCACAATAGCCTTTGCAAAACAGGGTGTATATATGTATATATGTCTCATTCTTTGGGGGGGGCTAGGCCGCAAGTAGGAGGTAAGCTTAAGTAGGTTGCATAAGTAGTAAAAAGATAGGTGCTCACCTCTGGACGCACGATAGCCCTCACACTATTCACTTGGTTACAAGAAAACAGTGGACCCTTTGCTCCGCAGTGCCCAAGTCCCTGGCGCGAGCCGCAGGAGCAGGTGCCAAAGCTCCTCAGTCCCGTGAAGTCTCAAAGTCACGAGGTCAACGAGCTTCTTGTTACTACTAGTAAGGCACTTGTTACTAGAAGCGATGCACTTGTTACTACTAGCTTCTTGTTCCTAGTAGCTTCTTGTTGCTAGTAGTACGGCCAGGAGCCCCGTTCGTAGCGTCCGAGCGCTCCGTTCGTAGTGATGCCAGGAGCCCCTAGTAGCGAACATCAAATTCTGAAGCAAAAGGTTGCTGATCTTGGCCTTCGATTCACTGGGAGTCGTTTCACCTGTAACAAGAATCTGTTTCAGTCTTCGAAGCTTTCTTGTAACTAGAAGCTTCCTTGGGAATCGTTTCACTGGGAATCTCTTTGGTGAAATGAACGACGGAATCACTTCCGCTTCAAAATAGCCCCTCTGACCCTGAAGCTGACCAACACTCAAACTTGCAATCAAAGTGACACGACATCGTTTTTCAAAAGGAAGCAGGGATGGGGTTCTCCCAGCGAGGGTTCTTCTCTGCCCACTCTTCCTGCTTAGCTCTTGTTACTGCCAAATATCAGGTTCCTCCCCCAAAAGGACTTTAAAAAAAGCAAACAAACAAACAAACAACAAAAAAACATAACAAAACAAAACAAAGCAAACAAACAACAGAACAAAACAAAACAAAACAAACAAAACAAACAAACAAACAAAAACCAGAACAAAACAAAACACACAAAAAACAGAACAAAACAAAAACAAACAAAAAACAGAACAAAACAAAAACAGAACAAAACAAAACAAACAAACAAAACAAAAACAGAACAAAACAAAAAACAAAACACAACAAAACAAACAAACACACAAAAACAGAAAAAACAGAACCGAACAAACAAAAAACATAACAGAACAAAACAAAACAAAACAAACCAAACAAATAAACAAAAAAACAAAACAAACACACACACACATGTAACATGTTATACAGTCCTCTCTTAGTTGTTCCTTTTCGTAGTGTCCTCTTTTGGTTTCGAAACAAACACGTGTCGTAATCACAGGGCTTCAGGCTGCTCCGAGGGGGTGTGGCTGGACGCGTCCCGGTAAACTCTCGTCCTGGCGAACTTCCAAAACTGATAGCTTCTTGTTCCTAGTAGCTTCTTGTTACTACTAGTAAGGCACTTGTTCCTAGTAGCGATGCACTTGTTACTAGTAGCTTCTTGTTACTAGTAGTAAGGCACTTGTTACTACTAGCGATGCACTTGTTACTAGTAGCTTCTTGTTCCTAGTAGCTTCTTGTTACTAGTAGTAGGGCACTTGTTACTACTAGCGATGCACTTGTTACTAGTAGCTTCTTGTTACTACCCAAAAAAAGAAACAACATAAAACAGTTCAAACACATGTATATCTTTCTATGACCAAATAATCTATATTCTTCCATGAACACAATACAAACATCATAATTACAATAGACAATCTATATACTGTATCTTTTTTAATCTTTTCACAACAAAGCAACGCATTCAGGACACAGGTTCCTTGCATCCTGCTTTGTTGTACATGTCTACTGAATTAGGCCGGTTGCACACTTGCTGCAGTTGAATGCAAAACCAGGACAGCTGCGAACTCCTAGAACCCTTCTGGCCTCCACCCTAATAGCAATGGCCTCCAACCTACTAGCGATGGCCTCAATCCTAATAGCCATGGCCTCCAACCTCATGATGCTGTTTTGCAGTCCTGTATATGTTGGAGCTGCCATATCCAAGGTACTCCCTGGTGGCCCCGCCTGACAAAACATCTTAAGTTATGCCACCTGCATTCGGCACCTTGCCCTCCAAGAAGGAAAACACCAAAAATCCTATGCACTTGTTCCTACTAGCTTATTGTTACTACTAGTAAGGCACTTGCTACTACTAGCGATGCACTTGTTCCTCGTAGCTTCAAAACTATGTGCCGCCACATGCGCCTACTGAAATGCAAGATCATGGCAACATTTAATGACAACGCGCAAGAAACACACTGATATTGATTCAACGCGCGTTGAGGACGCTACTAGGAGCAAAGGGCATCGCTACTAGGAGCGATCGGACGCTACGAACGGGGCTCCTGGCCTTACTACTGGGAGCAAGAATGCTACTAGGAGCATTCAACGCCATCTCACATCACCTTAAACCTGTTCTGAGCGCCTCTGCTACTGCGTTCGCATCTGCGGGGCTATCAGCCTGGAGAGGACACGTTCCACATGGAGTGGATCCTCTCGATTTGCTTCATCCGAAATTTCAAGAAACGAATTGATTGCAACCTCCAAAAGGCCTTGTGCGGTTCTACTGCAAATTCAAGAATTGCACCTCTCCATCAACTGCGACTCCACTAAGAGAGGCAGCAATGGCCCGCTCGATATCCATTACCTGTAGACAGACTGTCTCACAAAGCTAGGGAGTTAAATTTTCTCAGCAAGGGAGAAAGAACTGAAGAATTTCCCCTGTTTTTTCACTTTATTCTTCTGACTTGACCTGTAGAGCTTTTGTCTGAACCCTCGCCTGCAAATCTGATGTTGGTGACGACCTCAAGAGTTTTGCTGAGAAAACATCCTCTTCGATGTTTGCTCATTCGACTTCCACTCTATGGAGAGCGACGGATTTTTGTGGTCGAATCCGCCGTACGAAAAAAAGAAGGCCGCCCATACCTGGAGAATGCGGTAATCGACACGGAAAACGACCTGATCACACGAGAATGCGGTTCCCCTCTATCGGCGAAGGTGCGCACCCCAGGAAGAGTGGCGAAACCTTTGAACGCTGCACACGTTGTGCCACTCACAAGTCTCAGTGTCGTAGACAGCTGTAGGCAAGGGCCTCACTGAGTCAACGTCAGTGTGCGGAACACTGCAAGTAACTCTCGCGCACGAAATAAGCGGGAATCATCTCCGAACATCATCAAATATCCCATGCAAGTAGCAACCGGCAACTCTTTTTAGACAAGAAGGCACGCTCTTGGACATCTCAGATGTGCGCTTGCTGACTTCTGGGCCACGTCCTCCAATGATTAGCAACTTGGAGTCCACGAAGATACAGGAATGCTGAAACCTCGGCATGTGCAGGACAAAGATGATGATAGGAATGACATGTGTCCAACAATATCTTCCAGTGCATTTCACACGCAAACAAGCGGAACGTTGTGGAAAGCACGTTTGTATGAAATGGTTTGAGCTGTTGAACTTAGAATTTTGTTTCTGCCTTGGCTCGGGAGGCGGTCCACGCTTTGCTGGTGCCTCAACATTGTTGCAAGGAAATATCAACATGTGATTTTGTATTTCCAATGTTTGCGATTATAGATTGAACACCGTGCCATCCATGTCTTCAAACCACTCTCAATACCCATCTTTGTATGCTACTAGTAGCTCCTGGCATTACTACTAGCAACAAGAAGATACTAGTAGCTATTTGCTACTAGTAGTAATGCCGTTGGTACTAGTGCTACTATTCAATACCCATCTTGTTTCTTTGCCTGCACACTTTACTCCAAGACAGTCACCTCCACCCAATCCCATCGACCATCCCGATGCTGCCGCAGTCCCCAGGTGTCCTGAAAACAAACGACGAAATGCTGAAACATCTTGTGACAAGAGGGGGACGGTACTAGGGTGGAGGCCATGGCTATTAGGTTGGAGGCCATCGCTATTAGTAGCAAGGACGCTACTAGTAACAAGGGAGATAATACGATCTAAACTCTCATTCCATTCTCCCACACTAAGACTGCAAGGGTCAAAAGTGGACGCTACTAGGAACAAGTGCATCGCTACTAGGAACAAGTGCCTTACTAGTAGTAACAA